GTAATAGGTATTTTCATAATTTTTTGTAAAAGTTTTTTTAAATAAATTCAAAAATACTATTTGCAGAGCAATCTGCAGCATTTAATTCTAATAATTCTAATAGTTGTGTTTTAACTTTTTTTTTAACGGAGAAAAAAATTGAACAAGAACGCATAAAATTTTAGTATCTCCAATATCCGTGCTTTCATCTATTAAAATTGAAAATTTTTGATTCTGTAAAATGTTAACAATTTTCTCAATTTCCCGCTTTGCAAGAACTTCTTTAATAATATTGGTGCACTTTGATCGAGCCAGTGAAAAATCTTGCACGATTGAAGAATCTATACAAATGTCTTTTAACAAAGGAACTAAGTGATCTGCGGTATAAAGAGCAACATTATGTTCAGAATAAAAAGCTAATTTAATTTCGGCTCGTTTAACGTTTTCAATATGAGAATTTTTGGAATGTTGGCTTTGGCTTTGACTTATTTGAGAATTACTGTCACAATTTTTAATATGTTTAGCCCTTTGTGAATGCCGTATTAAATCCGATTTACAGCATCTAATGGTAATATTGCACAAGTTACAAATTGCCTTATTTTCCGTAGGATGAGAAGCCAGCCATCCTTTAAATAAATCGTCAGCTAACCAAGAATTTTGAAAATTTTTAATATGCGTCTTTTTAATGGCTCCTTTTGAACTATCCATATTTTGCGTAACAAAAAATACATATAAATATATATATGATATAAATATTATTTTTTACATGTACTCACCTAACTTTCTCCTGTAGCCTGTCAAACGTCTAACTTTTCGCGCCAGCACCCAACACTATAAGCTGTATACACCGCTGGATTCATAGCTGCAGCGCTGCGCATGCGCGAGAAAAAGCGTCCCGTCTAGCAACATTGGACTGACTTCGGATCGGCAAGCATCGGCGGTTTCGGCGGCGGGCCCCCACTAACGGAATTTCGGAACGGTCGGATGTGGGGGTCCGTTCGGCGATTGACCGCCGTTGTTTTCGATAAAGTTTATCGGCGCTCGATGCGCCCTTGGTGGGCTACAGACGATGGACGGTCCGTAGCCGTAACGATGCAGCTTGCGGGCTGCACTGTTACAAACGTTGAGAAATTTAGAAGCCGACCGGATTTTGAACTGGGGATCTTTCGTTTCACAAACCTATCGCTTAACTTGCTGCCCCTCGACAGCTCCACTACTTTCCCATTTAATCTGACCATTTATACCCTTAAAAAAAAAAACAAAATTTATTTTAAATAATGTTTTAATAAATGGTTTTTAAATTTTTTTTTCCATTTTACATATTTTATATCTTTAATGTGCATTTAAATAAAATACCAAATCACAAGTCCACAGCTTTTTTACTTTTTCGGCAATCCACGCTTAAAAATTACTTATTTTTTCGGCTAGTCACACCGGTCTAACCCCTTAAATGTAATACCGATCTATTAGCATATATACACCAGGTCGCACAAATGCCTTAACACATGAACTTGCACGGGTGTCA